GGGTCCGGGCGGTCTCCCAGGGAGGATCGTGACATCTGGTGTGTGGACGGGAGGGGGTGTGGTGGGGGGCCCAGGGGCAGGGAGGGGCGTGTGTCAGACCCCAGGGCCTCTAGTCTCTGTCCCTCCAGGCCCGGCCCTCCAGCCCTTCCCGAGGCCGCTTTCGCTTCCACCAAACTCCAAGCTGATCCAACCTCAGGAGATCCGGGTGCGAGGTGGGGGGAGTGGAGGCCGGGACAGGCCCCCGGGGCCCCTGGAGGGCAGGTCCTGTGCTGGGGACACAGCCCAGCCACAGAGGACCCCGGTGTGTCCCCGGGAAATCACCGCCCGGGAGGGACTCTGAGCAGAAACTCTCTGAGGCTCCGGAGGCCGCCTGGTTACAGAGGAAGAGGGTCCAGGGGTCTCAGGGATTCCTGGTTGTGTTCCCTCCATTGTCAGGTCCCACGAAGGTCGATCTGCAACCTGCCCGCCTCCCTCCGCTCCCAGGAGGGCAGGCCTGGCTCTTCAGGAGCTGCAGCCCCGGGCCAGGGTCCCAGGGTCCCAGGGTCCCAGGGTCCCTCCTTCGCTCTCTGTTCCTGGGTCCTCCCTGGAGGACCTTGGGGTCTTGTCTTCCCATTTGCTCCCCCTCCCCTCGTCCCCCAGGGTTGCAGGGGCCTGGAACTTCTCCTGGGAGACAGTCCTGGCTGGAGGAGAGAGGTCACCTGACTGGGCCTCCAGGACCCGCCCCTCTCTGCCCAGCCCAGGCCTTTCCTTTATTTAAAAAAATATTGTATTGATTTCAGAGAGGAAGGGAGAGGGAGAGAGAGAAACATCCATGATGTCCTTCTTCTACAGCCACAGGGGAAGGGGACAAGTTCTCACTGGGACCTGGGCTCTGGGCCAGCAGGAGCGTCTGAGGTCGGGGAGGGGCTTACCCCACAGGCCCACTGGGGTTCGAGCCTCTAACCCAGGCCTGTGCGCTGATCGGGAATCGAACCGTGACCTCCTGGTCCAAAGGCTGACGCTAAACCACTGAGCCAGCCGGCCGGGCGCCTCTCAGGTGAGGGAGGCCTGGAGGGACTCACTGGGTCTCAGGTGCTGTGTTTACCTCGGGGTCATCCTGGGAGGGTTTCCCTGGAGGAGACTTTTTCTATTGTTTCTTCCAGAGAAAGGAAGGGAGGGCGGCTGGAGAGAGAGAGAGAGAGAGAGAGAGAGAGAGAGAGGGAGAAAGAGAGAGAGACCTCGGGATGGAACCCGGGACACGTCGGTGCGCAGTGGACGCTCTAACTGCTGAGCCCGCTGCCCAGCCTTTGTTCTCTGTGGGGGGCAGTCGGGGGAAAGGCTGGGGGTGCAGAGGCCCAGCAGGTCCACAGTCGCTGCTTCAAAGGAATCGTCCTGAACCACCCAGTTCTTTAAGTTGCAAAGAAACGGTCCTGGAACCAGTTATTCCGATTATCCCTCATGTTCCTCAGGTGGGAGAGTCCCCCAGGCCCTCACTGGGTCCCCGGGGGCATCCGCCTCGCTCTTGCCCTCCCTGTGTCTGGGCTCCAACACCAGCTCCCCCTGATGGATGGTCTCTATTGGGGCTTCCTGCAGCCCCCGGTGGCCATGAAGCAATGGAAATGTGACCAGTCCTGCCCGGTGCGGCTCCGTGGAGAGGAGCTTGGCCTGTGGACTGAAGGGTCCTGG